GAGGTTATCTTAAATGGTTCGGTGCTTCAAGCATGCAGCTTCTTTACGGCGCATGGAGAAAAATGCTCCAAGCAGACCCGTACCATCACAAAGTCTCCAACTTTGAATTCTTTGAACCTTCTTTTGTTATCAGCAATAATTTTATAATTGATGTTACTTTGTTCAAGTTTCTTTTTAATTTCGGTGAGTAACTCTTGAATGTGAAATGCAGATGCATATGCAAGAGATCGGGGTGTGCATGATGAATGACAAGACTCATGAGCTCACACAAAAGTTTAAGCATCGATAAATTAGGAAGACAACAGACTACAACACACAACATCCTAACTCCTACGAACACGGCTGGAATAAAGGTGGACGAATCACGAAAAGAGGGGGTCTAAAGTGTTCAGTATAAGGGAACTGGTGTAGGGGAGAAATGAAAACATTCTTAGCTACCAGGGCACTTCTGTAGGTAGTTTCGATTAGGGTTGTCAGCGTCTTCCTAGTGGTAGTAGTGTAATCGAACAAATTTATCCAACTAGGATAGAGATGGTCCTTATCATGGTAGGACGAGGCTAAAACGGGCAAAATGAATGAATTAGGAATAAAATAAGATTAAGGATTCTGGCTCACATCCATAAGGGGATAGCCCAAAGATTCGTTAGAAGGTATGGGACTCACGCTCTGTCGAATATTAAAGTTGGTACAAGGAACGGTTACGTAAGTCAAATTAGGAATGACACACTCTGCCAAATATAAATCTAACTGAGCAGGTCTAAAATTAGACTCTAATGAAACAAGAGGAGGCACATTGTTTAAATCAGGCTCAAAAACATTCAGACTCAAAGTATTGTCTTCCGAAATAGACTCAGGTTTGGTTGTAACCCTAAGATCAATGGGTTCTGTTTCACTTGAATCAGGTGATACATTCGAATGACTTACTTCCAACTCGAGATTATCTAAGTCGCAATCAAAATTATCCAAACATGAATCAGAATTACTCATAATTATTTCTGTGGGAGGTATGATTAAGTCAGGAACTTTCGAATTTAATTTTATGGTGTTCACAATCATATTAACTCCTTTAGAGATATCGTTAACATCATCCAGGCATACCTTATCCAAAGAGTTATCATTGATGAGATTAGACTCCCGATGAGCTAAGGTATCAAGGTTATAAGGTTCTAGACCTCCTAAATCAGGGTTTAAGTCAGGCAGGGAGTCTAATTCAATCACTTCAGTTTCATTCTCAAAGAAGTCCTCATTACCCTTAATATCATTAGCATCCACGAAATGGATGCACTCAGTTTTAGGTTCAAAGGGCTATTTCTTGTTAATGCATTTCTCTATCAAAATTACACTTGCAGGGTATGGACTGGGGAGGCTAAAGGTTGACTGAGATGGCTGGAAGTTAGTCCAAGTTGGGAGTCATATGGGCTCGATCCAAGACCCACTAAAGGGTCGGCCATCAAGACTAAGTGAAGACCTACAATGTGGGACAGCAACCCTGTCGTTACTAAAGGATGGGTGGTCTCGACCACAATAATGTCCACGGTTTGTCCCAGCAGAAGAGGTAGGGTGGGGCTCTAGATGGCAGTCACTGGTAGAGGGTCGGTATTTTAAATTAAGATCTCTCCTCATGTCTTTCCAAGTATGATACTCACCGTGAGACTCTTTATGATCTTTCAATCTTACCCAAAATTGAAGAGCCCGACCTTTTAGGTGAGACTTAGCGATGCTAACCTGGTGGGATTCAGGAATATGACATGATTCAAAATAGTCCTCTAGTTGTCTAGCCCATTCCCTAAAGTAGTAAGGGTACGAAGAACCATCAAAGGTAGGCAGGCGGTAAGGTGACTCAAAGGGAGGTCGTTGTGGCTTAAACTCAGGTATAGATTGATAAGCAGAGTAGAGCACATAATTCGAGTGGGGATAGTCAACAGGTTTCTCCGTCATAATTCTAGTCATAGTGCCCACTAGGTTAACGATGTCATCTAACCTCTTTTGGAGGATTATCGGGTCTATTGAAAAGTGTTAAGTGATGCTTAATGAAGAATGGGTGTAAGGGACAGCACTCTACAAGGAGAAAACACCATTACGATTTGTTGTATGGTGCAGGAAGAATACAGGACAGCCAGCTACAAAAATGATTTAAGTGATCTAGGCATTTGGAATGGTTGCTAAGGCTTGGACAGAACCTAAATCAGAGGTTAGACCCACTGAAAGGCCACCAAACAGTGCAGAATTTTGTGTGGACAGCAAACTACAGTTAGTTGGGGAAGCTGCCTAAGTGTTTAGGATGATTTCTAGAGCGTGGACAGCACTTAAACACTAAGTTAAACTCTTCTAAATGTCACTACACGGTGCAGATTTTTGTTGGACAGCAAACCAAAAACCAGGGAAATAAAATGTAGGTGATGTTTATGCATGCAAACAAACATTTGGTTGGTTAGGTAAACTTTTAAGATGTTCTCTAGGTGCAAGGACAGCACAAAGACAAAAGAAAATACACTCCAAACGTTGATTATGAGTGCAGAATTGATCAGGACAGCAAACACTCAATAGTGGAAAATAAATATGACGATAGAGTTGTGCAAGCAATCAAGTCTAGAAGTGGCTAGGTTGAGGACAACACTTTGATTTGCAAATTGACACCTTTAACTTCCTAAAGTGTGCAGAAATTTACTGGTCAGCAAAGTAATCAATGATTTAAAATGTTATAAACGGTGATATGCATGCAATGACGACTAATAATGATTACGTAGCTCCCTAGGATGATTTCTAACATGTGTAGTCTATGCTAGCCTAGCTCTGATACCAAAATGATGTGAAACAAACAGAAGTTACTTAAGAAATTAAAGAGAGCGAATTAACAAAGTGTTCCCACAATAAAGTTATTACTTAAAACAAGGATTGATCCTTGGAGTTCTTAGTTTTTAACTTGCTTAGGCAAAGAAGAGCGAAGTCGATTAACCAAACAATTCAAGAAAACGCAAAGAGCAATTGTAAAACTACGACGATACACAATAATCCATGATTTAATAATGAAAACTTTCACCTTTGGAGCCCATACGCTCAAATAGTCTAGGCTTTAGCGGAAGAGGAGTCTCCACATTAGAATCGATGTCACTCAGAGGAAGAAGGAACCTAGGATCGTCGTTCTTGGATAGGTGGCCGGAGTGGTGGAGGATGATTGTCGTCCAATGATGATCCAACGTCCCTTTAACCTTTATTCGTCGATCACGTCAACTAAGGTGTAATGGATACGATCGATGTATTCTTCAATGGTGTCATCGAAATCAAAGCCCACGTCAAAGAACGGTGATTGGAGGATGACGACTTAATCTCGATCGTCATGCACAAATCCAAAGTTCCATTTGGGTTCCGCCATGCATTCTTGTCGGGAGTTGATGGAGCATCCAAGAAGAAGAGGGGAGGTGGAGAAGGAGCTCGGTGGGGTGAGGAGGGAATCGGCTATGAAGGAGGATTCTTTGGTAAGTAAGAAATCTGAAATTCTTTCCGATTTTAGCTAGATGGAGAAGGGATTTAATTTGAAAATCAAACTAAACCAAGGAGGGAATAGGGGCAGTAATGAGAGAGGGAGTTGGGACTGAATTTGTGGGAAATTGGGAGTAATTATGGAGAGAGAAAGGAGCCCATGAAGGGGCCGGCCAAAATAGAGGAGGGGAAAAGAATTTAATAAGGTGGGGTCCACGTGTTTAAATGACAGGTTTTGTTTAAAATCTGTAATAATTCAGATTTTAAACATAAGGAAAGTTTCCTTACTTGAATGTGAATAATATGCAACGTTTTGAATTTCAAATTTGCTTTGAAATTCAATTATGACACTTGCCTAAATTCTAGGATTCAATTTAGGAAAGTAATCAAAGTCTCATGAGAGCTTTGAATTTCAAATTAAAAACTCCAAGAGGGGCCGGCGGGTAGAGAGGTGGGGAAGGAAAATTGGGGAAGAGGGGGTGGCGGTTAGGACGAACTTTCATGTGGTGGTGGCCGACGGCCTGGGCGGCCCAAGGTGGGCGGCGGCAAGGGGCTTGGGGAAGAGGAAGGCGACGGCCAGAGAATTGGGGAGAAAACTTGGATGAATTCAAAGGGGATTCAAACCTCATGCATCTCCTCCCATGGAACTCACAAAGAGATCCACAATGCGTCGTCTCCGCAACGATGAATTGATCAAGAGAATTAAGGAAAAGAGAAGGATAAGGAAAACCTAGAACTCACAAAGAGATCTAGTTTCTCCTACGAACTCACTAAGAGATCGAGGAGGTTTGCACTCACAAAGAGAACATGAAATGTAATTTTTCATTCATCAAAAACTAACTCTTACATAAGAAAATGGTCATATATATAGGCCTCAAAATGACCAAGAAAACAAAAGACTAAAATGCCCTTGGGGCTACAATAGCGACCAAATACTCATAAAGGCAAAAGCGGAAAAATATAAAATAAAATAAACTACTGCATAAAATGACTAAAAATACAACTCATGATCGTGGCTGTCGATCTCTGGCATCTCCTGATGATACATATGTCGAAATCGCCGACGATGTCCTCATCAGTTAGATCTAAGCAGTAAGCTAATTTGATTCCTATCATGTGAGACTAGTTCAATTATCAAGCTTCTACATATGTATTACTTAGTTTAATCAGGGTTCTGATGCAGAGCATCTTAACTAAATTGCTCCTTAGGCATATTTTAATTAGTTTGTTATGTGCTTTTTACAAGTGCCTTCTAGAGTACTCTATTTAGCTTATATAAGCAAGTTTTGTAGTAGGGAAAACCCATTGAATGATATTATCCCCTTTTAAAAGCTTTGAAAGCTTCTCCTTCTTCTTCCCTGGATTGGGAAAACCCAAATCCTTCTTGCAGGTCGCATCTTTCGACGATCCACTACATCAGGTTCTAGAATACAAGTCTGGTGCAAAGACAATAAAAATAATGGTAACTATCTAGAGTTCTAGACCACAACTCAAAAGCAGTAATTTCATTCGTAACATGCCTGAAGTAGAATCTTTCCGAGGGACATCCTCATCTGCCACCCACCGCTGAACGAAGCAACCAACCGATCAGAATCATCTGGAGCAAATCCAAGCGCAGGCATTATCTTACTAATCTTCACATTCACCATGTCAAGGTTAATATCCTGTGCTCTTCTCTGAAGCAAGTCCAACTCATCCAGTAGTCTCCCCATCAAGTCCAGATCCTCCACCGATCTCTCCAGCGCCTTTTGAACCTTCTCCAGCCTCTCAGATATCTCCATCTCCTCCTTAAACGCGCTCAAGAACTCCTCTTTCACTGTCCTGTTTAGGCAGACCTCAAATTCCTGGCTCAAAAAAGAAATCTTCATGTTTTCCTTGGCCTTCACCAAATTCCCTGCATCCGGCTCGTCCAAACCCGCGATTATCCTTAGTTGAGTCGTCTTGCCGGCGCCATTAACGCCAACCAACCCAACTTTTTCCCCTTTCTTCACCTCCCAGCTCACGTCCTTGAGCACGGTGACGCCTTTGAAGCTCTTACTGATGTTTTCTAATTTAATCCCTGATGATACGCTCGACGCCCCGCTGCTCGACTTCTTCGCCAATTTCTTCGACCCTTTGTTGGTTGAACTCTCCGATAAGAGGAACTCAATGTCCTCCGCTACAGCGTCAGTCTCCGTCTCCGCGGTTTCGACGGCCACTGCCGGAGTCCTAGGACAAAAGCTAACATCTATTCCACTAAAGCCAGCCATTTTCAGTGAGGCGAGATGCAAGTGCCTGGGCTTTACCGGAAGCGCAGAGCATGAGCGGAATCGAGTTTGAACCTTTGCCATCCCTTCGCGTGCATGAGAAGAGCTGGAGACGAAGCTCGATCGGAGATGGATGCTCCGAAGTCCGGCGGCGATGTCCATCTCCGACGAGGCAGAAAGGAATCAGCTCTCAAAGATTTCGCAACTTAGCAATGAAACCTCGCGACTGTTGGGTGATTACAGCCAAAGAATTAGGAGTTTCTTTCGTGGGGGAAGGAGGACAGTGGTGAGGCGGAGAAAATTCTTTAGAAAATCTGTAGATTATTTTTTTTCTGGATTAAATGTTTATATTTATCTTAAAATAAATAGTAATTATTTTGAAATTCATCTTATAAATTTTTAATCAGAATAATTATAGGAGATTTTTTTCCGAGAAATAAATTCGAATCGCGTGTTTATAACTTATCATTAATATTCGATATATATATTTATATATATGACTATGACAATGTAAACATATACCATGTGATTATAGAATTAATAGTTACTTTGTTATTGATAAAAAATTAAAAATTTATTGTTAAACTTATCACATTTAGATTAAATAGATAATTTTAATTTTATATATCTCATAATATATTATATTAAAAAAATGTCCATTATTTTATTTATTAAAGAAATATGCCCAAAATTTTGTTTTATATAAAATTAACCCTTTTTGATACATGTGAAGTGCTTAACTGCTTATTGAAGTATGTTGCAAGCAAATTAGTTCAAATTACTTCCAATTTGAGTTTTAAATCTTGCCTTAATTCAAATGTAATTCAAATAAATTCGAATCAAATTCAAACTAGGTTTACAAACCTCACTAGGTAGGAATTGTAGCGGTGATAGAATTTTGCGATGAAATTCTTTGGGGCTCACAATGGGAGCAAATGAGATCGATGGTGTTAGGGCTCAAGGATGGGAACAATGAAATTGTATATATAGTTTAGGCACGATGTTCTATAGTTCTATGAACGCATGTCCATTCCCCCTATTGAATCCATGATTATTTATGAATCACACAAACTATACTAAGAACATTAAAGGGTTGTTTAGTTGGCTGAAAAGAAGTGCAGTGTAAAAGAAATATGTGTTATATTGCATTATATTTGAAATACTTTGGAGCTGTTTGGATGAGTGTAAAATAAATACGGGGAATCACTTTTTTTATCTTGAAGTAAAATGAATGCAGTGTAAAATATGATCGGAAGCAGTCAGTGGTAGTGGTGGCGGTCAGCGATGGTGGCGACTGGCAATGATGGCAGTCGCAAATGGTGACGTCAGCGGTTGGTGTTAGCAGTGGTTGTTGTCAGCAACGGGCTGTGGTAGCAATGACAAGCAATGAAGTTCCAGTGTATTTAAAAATCACCCAAATTTGAAAATTGTCAAATACACTATATAAACTAAAATGATGAATTCCAAATACATCAAAATTTTATACTCCATTTTGTTAACTTCAAACCAAATACCAATATTCTCCTAACCCTTGCATTTGGAATACTTTACACCATTTTTACTTAAAACCAAATAACCCCTAAGTGATGAGAGAGAGAGTAAAAAGCTTTGAGATTTCTATAAAATAAACATGAGTATAGAAAATTGCATAAAATAAGCTCACCTCTCAATGTATGATTACTACTATTAAAAATGCCTGTGCATTAACGTGACTAAAAATTTAAAAATAAAGATTCATATTATAAATATTTTAATTATATTATCATTGTTATGATGAAAAAAAATTATTAAATTTATTATTATAAATAATTATAATCACTAATATTTATTTGCATTTGCATAAAGTCTAGAAGAATAAAAATTAAAAATTTTAAAATTTAATGAAAAAGTGCCATTAATTTTGCTAGTTTTATTGCGCATGCATTAAATGCAAGTAACTAAAAAAATAAAAAAAAAATTCATATAATGAATTATTTTATTATATTTTATTTAATAAAAAAATTGCTATCTTTATTTCCATAATTAATTATAATTATTAATAATATTAGCAAAAAATTATATATTTTTCTTAAAGTAATATTAACAAAAACTCCATGCACAACAGACATTTTATTCACCAACTATGCAACAAAAAACAAAGAAAACATCAACCTAAATAATAAGAAAAAGATATTTGAGATATGCTAAAATCCCGAGAGCTCATCTACTTCAAATAAAATAATGAGTAAACATTAATAGCAGTAACACTTAATGACAGAATCGTCGATAGATTAGTGATCCTTGGAGTGAGATTAACATATATAGATCCTTACGTTTTCTCTAGATTTTGTTATGTATTTTCTTTTATTCTCTTATATCCATGAGCTTGTGATAAAATAGTGATTGTACTGATCTCTTAACTATTGTATATTGATTTTGGGAGAATAAATATAATACAATATTTTGAGATATGTAATTGTTAGTTACTTTCACTGGTTATTATTTATATTGATGATTTATAAAAACTATGATATATTTTTAAAAATATAAAATAAAAAATTCTTTCAAATATGATTCCGATGTGTCATAATAATCATCTTTGTTTAAACTAGGTCAATTTAGCTTGAACTTAATTTATTGGATATTTTGATGTACACCACTACTTATAGCACTATCGCCTAATGGAATCACAATGGTTTAGCCTTATTGCGTCATGGATTATTTGCGGAAGTAGAGAGATAAAAAGCTTAGTGTCCTATCTTTGAACGAATATCCAACACACATACAAATAAATAGAGAGAGAGAGAGAGGTACAAGTAATAAGAGACACTAAGTTTTTTTTTTTACGTGAAAACCCCTGAAAAGGAAAAAAAATCACGGGGCCTGGCCTAGTTGAAATGAATCAACTAGTGTTTGTTGTTGATTACAAATGATGCCCTTTCTCGAGGAAAGGTGTTGGCTTTATGTAGCTAATATACATCACATATAGCACTTTATATGGTTGGGGTTGAAAGAACACAATGTCATAAGAGTTGTTCTCAAGAGTGTTGGCCTATTCATTTGACCGATAGGATCATAATCAGTCGACAAAAGTTTGACTACAGTGGTGCTTAATTATAACTCTAGGATCTTTGAAGCATTAGAACTCTCTTCAATCTCCAGCAAAATGTCTCCCCTCATGTAGAGAGTGGGAGTCTATTTATATATTTTTGTGAGTGGCATACCCCGTAAATATGGAGAAAATCCATGGTAGATTCGACGTGCTCCATTGGATGGTCTGTACTGATTCCCTGATCATAGAGTATTTTCAAGCATTTATATGCTTTAATGATGTTGGAATTAAGCGTTCTTGAGCTAGTTGGATTCGTCGAGTCGAGCTGCTCGATTCGAGTATTAACGTGTCATATTTAGATATCATTTGGTCATCCAATTAATGATTTGAACATTCCAAGTACACTTTGGGCCCTTGATTTGTGGATTTGATTGATTTTCGATGTCGATGGATTTTTTTTTTTTTTTTTTTACAGTCATTTTGATTGCAAGTTTGCTTAAATTGGAGTTTGTATAGTCACAAATTTAATGTTGGAAGCTTTCAACTTGAATATCCCTCAAGATTTGTGCTCGATTAAAGCAACTTTTGGTGGCGTATCAAGCCTATGATTTTTTATGTTTGAAATGCTCCACTATGGATTGATTTGATGGAAAAAGGATGCAACTTTTATGATTATAAGATAGCCTTGTGGTCGCCGTGGGTGATGAGTTTTATGTCGTTGGTAATGGTGAGAAGCCAAAATTGTCGAGAAACAAGAGAGTCGTGTGGAGGATTTACATATGGAAGCTCTCCGAGTATTGAGCCAATATGGACAACAAGGAGAGGTTCGTTGTGGACATAATCATGTGAAGTTCGAATTAGGTTTGATAAAATCTTATTTGAACTTTGTTCAAATAAAAAAAAAAGTTTCAATTCGAACAAGTTCAAACAAATTTTAAACACTTTGTGTGTAGGGGTGTCAATTTCGGGTCACGGGTCGGGTTCGGGTCGAACCCGAACTGACCCGGGTGGAAAACGGGTCAACCCTAACCCGACCCGGGTAGAGAAACGGGTCGAAAATTCGAACCCGGACCCGACCCGGCGGGTCCCTATTTGTGTGTATAAAAAAGGAACAATTATTACGTCCTCCGACCGGACGTAGAGGAACGTCCAGTCAGAGGCCAAATCGCGCCAAAAAATGAGAAATACCGAGCAATATCAAACAATAACGAGGAATACCATCACGAGAAGACCCAATACCGAGTTATACCGAGCAATACCGAGTTATACAAAAGTTGTAACGAGTTTTTCCACAACTCGGTATTGCTCGGTATAGCTCGGTATAACTCGGTATTGGTCTTCACATAGCAGTATTCCTCGTTATTATCAAATAATACCTAGCAATACCGAGCAAATACCAAGTTTTTTGACAGGATTTTACCTCCGACCGGACGTTCCTCTACGTCCTTACACCGGACCTAATAAAAGTTCATAAAAAAGGGGTAGCTTGATTTAAAACCATTTTTCAAACATATTTCCCAAAAGAAATAAAACGGAGAATATATTTCTTTTGTATCAAACAAGGTATATAAAATCAAAATTATCTTTTAATACATATCATTCATAAAAAAAATAAAAATGAATTATAAAAAAGTTTAACCATATGCCGAAATATAAAGTTATGCAATGTTGAATTTAATCTCAAAATATTAATTATAATGTTTGTACTTAAAAAACTAGTTCATATATATTAGATGAATAATAACATTCTATCAAAATATTTAAATATGATTTATATCTTGATGATAAAATAACATATTTAAAATTATAAAAAAAATTCTATTATAAGATAAATATTTAAAAAATAAAAAATTATATTGTAAAAATAATTTTTTAATAAAAATTTTTAAATGCCCTTTAATGTTAAGCATTTATTTTATAATTATAAAGTATTTCATTTTATTATTTTTAAATATAAATTATATGAGAATATTATAAACAAATTTTATTCAAATAATTGTTTTTATAAGTTTGAGCAATAAAAAAATATTTATGGCGTATTTTCTATCCTGTCTTATTATTTTTAGATAAATAATGCAATTTTAAGTGGACGGAAAATTGCCACGTTTAGTGATATATCTGTGTGTGGTTACTATTTGTTGTGACTACGTCCTTGTGGTCAAATAAGCCGCAGCCGTATGGGAAAAATTATATAATCACAAAAGCAACAAAAGACAAAAACAAAAAAAAACGAAAAATGGCCTATTGCTTTTTTATTATTGAAAACATTTTATATATTTTAAT